GTGTACCCGCCGTGACGGTCAGCACTAGAGTTTCGTGCCGCGACTTATACCGTCGGCGTACTTGTCAAATGCGGCAACAAGCATACACCAAAGTCGGCGTACCCGAGCTAGGCAATTTGGTACTTTGATAATTCTTTCTTTAATTATAATTTGTATTGAACTTTTATTACCGTGCTAGGCTGACCTAAAATGTTTTTGGGAAAATTGGTCCGATATATCGATGTTTTTTTTGCGACATATCGAAGCCGATATTGATATTTTTTAAAATATCGCTGTATCGATATATCGATATTTTTTTCAACTTTCGACATCCCTAACCCGAGCCTTCACCGAGCCAGTCACACTGACAGTTGTGTACGAATAGAACAGTGGCGTAGCGAATGTTTTATTAAAATTAAACATAAATAGGAATCAGTCCCCATACTGTAAGTTAGGTGAGTAAAATTTTTACGTGCCTGTGCCACGTGATATTTGAAAATCGGCACAGAACAAGTTCGCGAGTATGTAGTCGTTCATTGTGCACATTAATACAACTCGATTATCCATATTTTGTGCATGAGAAATTAAGTAAGGTCGGACATTCTTGGGATCTCACTCTGTAATTCCATACAAATCAACGGAATCATGGTCTAGAACCAATGATATTAAATGTTTAATATATATTAAATCTCGACGGTGCAAGTGGTTAGCGTATTCGGCTGCGATCGGTTGAAGTTAAGCAACTTTCGCAGTGGTCGGTCATTGGATGGGTGACTAAAAATCTTCTATGTCGAGCTCCTCCGTGCTCCGTAATGCACGTTAAGCCGTTGGTCCCGCCTGTATCTGCAGTCATTAGCATCCACCAATCCGCACTGGGCCCGCGTGGTGGGTCATGGCCCAAACTCCCTGTTCCATCCATAGGGAAGACCTGTGCCCCAGCAGCGGGGATATTAACAGGCTGATGATGATGATGATGATATATTTTAAATCGTTATCTAGAACTCTCAAAAGATCTTGTAAGCTAAAAGTCACAAGTCATATAAAAAAAACATCTTAAAGAAATGCACTCATGCATCGCTACCGCGATTACAAGAACTTTCAACGGCATCTCTTAGCAAATTTGGGAACTATAGACATTATCATGTAAAACGAAGGCAACCAAACCATCATGCGGGCAAAGATTTAAATCTTCGCATGCGGGTAACAAATACTACAGAACCGTCTTTCTCCTAATAAAAGGCCACACAAACTTGAACAGGTATAAGTAGTTACTTTATATTTTTATTTTAAGCATTTAACTGATTGATCTTAAGTTATACGTTTAAGTATTTGACCAAACAAAACCAAGACTTGAAAACATTGAACTTTGCTCATCGCAGAGATAAATACCCATCCTGGGATTCGAGCAAATGTATTCAATATGCCATTATTTCACGAGCAGTAATTATATCATTTCAAGGAATCCCAATTCTCCAGCAGGATATTTTTGTTCCTTGCATCCAACGATGTTAAATACCCTAGATACACCAACATGAACAAAATCGTGCCCGAAACCTGTCCAAAAGGTACAATGGACGATCCACAGAGCTCCTTAAGAGGATTGCGTAGTCTTTTGACTTATAAAAGGCATATTTAAAACATTGAAAGTCACCTTTGAGAAAACCAGTATAAGGTCTTGCATCAAAGAGCATGCATCCAAGAGTAATGACAGTTCGTAATGCAAGCTCGTAAAATTTTACGACTTATTGCTATATGCGGAAGAATACAGACCTTATTTCCTTGATTCTACGCGCGATTCTGAATGCGCTGTTAGCAATATAGCAGGTACGGACCGCGAGTAAAAGAGACGGCTATATTACCGAAAATACATTTGTACATCACAAATATTTTCTAATAGATCAGTTTATAGTAAGTATTAAAACAAAATTTGCTTCAAATGCATTAAATTAACAAACACACCTGTCGAAAAAACGATACTTTCCATATTATAAGTATTTTTTCGCATTTTTTGTTTTTTTGAACTTGTATTTTCAACGGTCCGCGCGTGACTGTGAATGAAGAAGTGCTTGAGACGTGTACAAGCACTTGCTGATTGGACACATTTTGAGCGCACATGGTGTATCTAGGGTATTTAATATCATTACTTGGAACCAGGGCTTGTTTACCGGTTAATTTTCAAACCTAAATCAGTATCAAGTACATTAGGAGTGTTTTATTTAGGTATGGCTCTACCTTAACCTTAAAAAACCGGTTTTCCTAAAAAGCGGGAATCAAATAGGTTTTGAATCAATTTAGCGGTTTTTAAAGGGTTTCATTTCGCTCTTATTGACGGCATCGCCTTCGCCGTTTCGATTCAAATTTATAATGATTTTATGTCAGTTTCTTTCCAACTACAGAGCGAGTGAGTGAAGTAGTGTGTCAGTACACAACTACAAAATGAATAACTTGACTCACTAGACGCTAGCAAACATGTCAATAAATTCATCAAACTCTGAGCATAAACAAGTTGTGACTTGATTAGTTCAAACAAGACAAACTTTAAGCGATGCCGACGCGTGCACGCGTCGCTCTGGATTAAACCGGTTTATGAAGGTTTTAGGTACCGCTTTAATTTCGGACGCGCTCCGAACGAAACCTTTACTAAAAACCGGTATTAACCTTTATTTACCGGTATTTTCGAAACCGGTTACAAGTCCTGCTTGGAACTAAACAATACCTACATGTATTTTAAGCTCAGGTAGTTTAGTTTGTACTTGTCCTAGTTTGTTTGAATAAGACTAATATTATGATTTTATTTATTTTTTAAGCGTTTAACTGCTAGATGTTTAAATCTAAAGAAAAGTTTACTAGAAATAAAAAATCCACGCCCACGACACCCACAATGTCAAATGAATTTGACATATATAAAAGTATTCGTTTGTCATTGTGGGTTACCTACAATGCGAAGAGATGGCGCTGTCTTGCAGCTTAAGGCTAAGGAAAAATTTCGACGCGGCTAATAGTGGCCGTGGTAGCATAATGGTCAGTGCATTCGCCCGGATAGCGAAGGATGCGGGCTCGAGTCCCGTCCGCTGTCTGGTCCGCGTGGATTTTTTTCTAGTAAACTTTTCTTAAGACTAATATTAGTTTAAAAGGGAATCCCAATCAAAGCTTTTAAATGTACAAAGATATTGGCATCCGAGCCCTTCTAAATATCAAAAGACTAGGGATTTGCCAATTTATTAGATTATAAAGTTCAACATCTAATGAATTCGCTTGATCTCTGGCTAAATCGAGCTTCTCTTTGAACTTTTCTTAGTGTTTTATAAAGTGTTCGTAATTAACTAAACAAGTTGTAAGAGGTAATGTAATTCATCAAGAATTCTTCCTGAATAAATTTTTCGTTCCAATATTTTAGAGACTTGCGTTAATAAATAATTAATCTGAGCATTTATTAGATTAATCTCTTTGAAGTACAGCTTTTATATCCTTCTAATAAGATGCCGTTGCAAGATGGTCCCAGGTAAAAAGAATGATTTTCCGCTAACCAAATATTTTGGATGCCAACCTTCTTTAAGATTAATGAAATTCTTGGGTCTCTGAGATTAATCCTTTCACTTTATTTTATAGGTTACCTACGAGTATACTCCTTTTCATATTTTATACGAATAGCTCTTTCCTTTATAAAGAAATATAAAGAAATATGTACTAAAAAAAAACCACGCAGACCAGGCACAAGACGGGACTCGAACCCGCACCCTCTGCTATCCTAGCGGATGCACTGACCATAATGCTTCCACTCAAAATTTCTCTGGTATTTCTTTAGCTGCAAGGCAGCGCCATCACTTCGCATTGTAGGTAACCCACATCTCTACAAGTATTGAACACATACTCGTGGATACATTTTTATTTTTTACAATTAAATGTTGAAAAATAAATGACTATATAAAAAAATGAATGATTGTAAGCGGCCTATAGACGCTTGGGCCTATACCTCATATAGCCTATACCTCACTTACCCTGACTCCCCTACTCTGCCTATACCTCTAGCCTATAGCCTCACCTCACTTACCCCCACTCCCCTACTCTGGCTATACCTATAGCCTATAGCCTTACCTCACTTAACCTGACTCCCCTACTCTGCCTATACCTCTAGCCTATAGCCTCACCTCACTTACCCTGACTCCTCTACTATGTGGAGGCCTGGCAACTTACTCACTAACATACAGAAGCACAACTTTGCCTTTTGGTTTTATTATGTTGTTAGAGTTACTTCACTTCTTCTGTTCCTGTGCCTACAGGATAAGCTCTGCTTAGTTTGGGACCAGATATGATTTTGAAAGTGTTCAATATCTAAATACATATCAATAAAAGGAGGACGGGCATTTTGGTATCCAATTGGTGTTTGGTATCAATAGCGATGAGTGATATATCATTGAATACCTCTTTTTATGTAGAATATTAGTTACTATGGCGGCATTCTGATATTTGTTGTCCGTTTTTATTTTTTCCAGAAAATACCAGAACCATTTTTGCCTGAACCGTTATTACCATTATTACTACATTATTATACTTACCGATTAATAATTATAATAATATAATTCAACATTATTGTACATGTGTAACCGATAGACGTACCATAGGAACTTGTGCTCACATATTATTAATTATATGGTACCTAGGCTATGCCAGGCACGCCGGATTCATCGTTCCTGCACTGTTCCTAAATGACATCCTTATTATAGATAAATCCTATTGTTAATACTTACAACACTCCTAAAATAATGTAAATACTGAAATGTATAACAATTTAAAAAGAAAAAACTTTTTTTTATTATTTATTGTATAACTCTGTTTCGACAACGTATCAGGGCAAGCGCCATAGTAGACATTATTGTATTCAAGTAGACCTTTCAAATGATATGTAACACATCTCTATTGGAACGGATACCAAGTTCCATACATTTTTGCCCATCATCCTTTATAGGTAAATCCAGTAGAAGCTTCGATACATCGTAAAGTTCTTTACGATTAAGTGTTAGTATATATTTATTTAAAAATCTTTAATTCCAGTAGTATTATTTATTACGTTTACAAAAAGCTGTTATTACTTATATATTAATCTAATAAAATTTGCCCTAAGATTTTTGAATGTCATTGAACGAGAAGTCTGCTGTACTCAAACTGATCCTGTAGGTGTAGTTTTTTCTTTGGTACTTTTATTTTCATCCAAAGCGACTTTATCATACTGCGGAGGGTCATTCCATTCAGCCAATTCTGCAGTCCCGAATATCACATAAACTAAATTCGTGAAGAAGTATAAGCCCGCAGCAACGAAGAACACCTTCCGCCAGAGAAGTGGATCAGTCTGCAAAAAGCCATTTACAAACAAACAAATTTTACTAGTGTCACTAAAAAGTCTAAATTTCTTCTACAAAATCAATTTTAACAGTTTATCAGCCATCGCATGTTGATTTCACGCTATCATACCATACTATGACAAACTAACTTTTAATACTGTCGATATGAAATCAATCTTTGTCAGTAAACATTTTATTTTATAAAATCGGTACTATAAAATCTTCCATCATCATCACCAGCCTATTAATGTCCCCACTGCTGGGGCACAGGCCTTCCCTATGGATGGAATAGGGAGATTGGGCCATGACCCAGTGCGGATTGGTGGGTGCTAACGATGCAGATGCAGCCGGGACCAACGGCTTAACGTGCCTTCCGAAGCACGGAGGAACTGCGAAAGTTGCTTAACTTCAACGATCGCAGCCAAACGCGCTAACCACTTGCGCCATCGAGCTCCTCATATATCTTTATAACAACGGATATTATCATAGAAAACGCTATTAAAAATCATTTACTTACAGGGTCAGTCAAAATTATTCCAGCCACGATAGGTGCAAGGGAACCGAACATGTTCGACGCGAAGTTACTGATACTCATCAATGTACCGGCATAGTTAGGAGAAATGTCCACATGGTTTACCTGAGAACACAAGGAGATAATTATAAAAGAGATACAAGAAATAAGAATAAAGGTTACACTTTAACATAAGAAAAAGAGGTAGGTATATTAGTAAATTTACGATCATTTAATTATGGTTAAAATGAAAATTTCGATGATCTGATCTGATGGTAAGATTATAAAAAAATATGGTAAGATGAGTTAGTAATAACAAGCTTTTATTTAACTTGCTATGTATGTTTGTTACGGTCAAATCTTACAACTCAATTTTAAAGCACTTGCCCTCAACCGATTAAGCTGAAATTTGGTATGCTCGTTCAGTTCGGATGACAATGCATGTTTAACAGTGTGACGTCATTCTAAATCCAATATGGCGGCATACCCAAAATGGCGGACCAATCATTTTTAATGCATTCCTACAATATGGGTATCAAATTAAAGGGCTTGCTGAGAGTAACTCGAAAAAAATGTGACGTCACTCTCAATCCAATATGGCGGACTTCTAAAATTTGAAAATCTATTTAGAAACAAACTAACTAATTTAGTTATAATTATCTTTTTTTCTTTTTAGCGCATTTGAATAAAAGCTTGTTTTTAAAAAGGTTTTTGTACCTTAATTTTTTTTTACATCAGTTACAATTTAAAATTAATGGAAAATTCTGCAAAATTATTAGAAAATTATACTTTATCAATTAATATAAAGAAATCAATTGTATTAAATTCATTTGAACTCACATGAAAACCAACCGTAGAGGCGATCTTGAAACTACAAATCAGTACCAGTATAGTCTCAACGATGTATATGTTATGTGGTGCATAAGCAAGCGCTACTAGACCGATCGCTGATGGTATACAAGCTGTGAATTTACATAAAACCATGATGTTAAAAAACCAAAGTGATATTCGAACATAAACTTCTCATAAGAGAGGGACAGAGAGAAAGAGAGAGAGAGAACAATTTTATTGACCAATATAAGAATAATGCAAATCAAGAGCTTAAAAAGTCATCTAAATCTAAATCCTTATAACTACAGGTTGGCGCCAAAGGAAATGAGGAAAGGACAATGTTAAAATTGGCCTAAGAACCAACACCAATTTGGCATTTATGATAATTCTTAGTATATTTTTTGCGATAATTATCAGTATTTAGATTGTGACGGACACTTTCAGTTAAGTAAGCTAAATTAAAAAGTTAAAAAATAATCTGAGACAATAAATACCATTTTATGTGTATAATCTATGGCAGCGCTGCAAACAAAACACTCTTTCTTCCTAATGCCGGCACTTCACTTAGCTATTCGTATTTGCTATTTTAAAACATGACATCAGTCTGTCCTTTTCATTCCTTATTAAGCATGACGAGGACAAATTGTTGTCAAGTGAAGGGCCGGCATAAAACTTGATACTCTGTGGTTGTGGTGCATGCAGTTTGCATTCGTAGTAATCTGTGGCATTCGTGCATTCCAAAGAGTAGTTTAAATACCGGAAAGTGCATTCTCGTTTCGGATAACCTGTTGTGTGTGTTTATTTGCGATTGTTTTTCCCCATTTCGGCTATCTAATATGCCATCGATGTTACCAAAGAGCAGAGCCCTTATTACCAAGTGCTAGTGAACCTGTGCCACAACAGAGAGGATCATACTGCCAAATTATTCAAGAACACCTGATACACATTCACGCTGCATATTTACACAATATACATGTGATATACAAATAAATACAATAAACAATATGATACAATTGTGTGAAAAATAGTTAATAAATAAGAAGCAAAACTACAGTTTTTATTTTATTCATGATTCCTACCTTACCAAGTTTTTCCTATTAGTTATTCTTTAAAATCGCACCGAATAAAATGAATTAGTTGTAATATTAATTCACTTCATACTGAGTTCATACTAAATTCATAGGTTGACCTAAGTTTCATTAAATATTAAACATAACCTCAAAAATCTAAAGAAAATATAACTAGAAAAAATTTCACGCGGACCAGGCAGCAGACGGGACTCGAACCCGCACCCTTCGCAATCCGGGCGAATGCACTGACCAATTATGCTACCGCGGCCCTCACGGACCGCGTGAGGGCCGCGGTAGAATCTTTAGAATCTTTAGATTTAAACATCAAGCAGTTACATGCTTTAAAATAATAAAAAATTATAACCTCAAAAATTTTTAGTTTTCCTAATAATTTAAGTTCTCAGAAGTGTCCGTCAAAAATATTTGTTTTTACAGTCATTTACTTACGATTTTGAACCTAGAAAATAATATTTCATGATTGTTGGTTCTTAGGCTAACTATGTATGGACGCTGAACAATGTCCTTTTATAATTTTGTTTTGACTTGGGAAATTCAATGTGGAAAATTGCACAATTAAACAACGCGTGAAAATTAATTTATTAAAAAAATCGTCAATCTATTATATTTCGCAACGTGCAGAGGCAACGATAAATCGACATATTGCACGTTTTTGACAACGAGGCACAGTCTTTGACCTTCCTCGAACTGGAAGACTACAACAGCTCTCAATGAAGACAATACTTGACGCGTAGAAGCGAGTTTACAGGATCCAGCAACGTAAACAACGTTTAATGCAATTTGGGTTGTCGGATCAATTCAACGAATTTTGAGGAGATTGCACATGTTCCATTATAAAGTCCAGCTCGTTCAAGAGTTAAAAACTCACCGATTACCAGCACAGACTTTATTATGGCAAATAACCGAACACAATGATGAATTGGCCACCGCGTTGGTCGGATTTAACCGCTCCAGGTTTTTTGTTCGGGGATATTTTGAAGAATGTGTATACGGGAATAAGCCAGAGACCATTGTCTATCAGCTAACTTAAAAATAAAACTGGAAGAATTTCGAGCGATAACTCCTGAAATCATGAGAAAAGTCGTGAAAAACGTGTTAGAAAGAGCGCAAGTTTGCAAAGGGTTTACAAAGGGCACCATATTTAATGTCCTAATCTCCATTAATAAAGTGTAGCGTCGGTGTGTACTTCGAATCTAGAACACGCCAAGCATAGAATTTATAGCTGACGCACATCAACATTAGTTAAGACTAACTAGTATCATCATCATCATCATCAGCCTATTAATGTCCCCACTGCTGGGGCACAGGCCTTCCCTACGAATGGAATAGGGAGTTTTTGAGCCATGACCCACCACGCGGGCCCAGTGCGTATTGGTGGGTGCTAACGGCTGCAGATGCAGCTGGGACCAACGGCTTAACTTGCCTTCCGAAGCACGGAGGAGCTCGAGATAGTAAATTTTTGTTCACCCATCCAATGACCAACTACTGCGAAAGTTGCTTTGCTAACTAGTATATAAGATGCAAATCGGAAAAAACGATGCTCTTAGTTGTCAAGCGACACACTGGCTGTTTGATTTCAGATCTCCCATGACTAGAAGCCGAAACAGTGTTACAATATTTATTAAAAAATTTGAATAATTGAAAAATATAGGAATTATAGACTATTTAAGCCTATTTGTTTATTTTGCGCCACCCTGTATTTAAGACCAGGAAATCTCGACAATGGTAATGTTACAGCACAAGATAGAACCACATTACTGGAAATGCTACTTGGAAAATAAGAAATAATATCTGACGCACCTAATGAATTCGCCAGTTTTCTGGTTTGAGTGACGTTCAGGTACTTCTTTACAATCAACATGTCTGTTATCCAGCTGAAGAAGAAATTGGTGAACCACATCACAAGAAACGGGAGTGCCGTCAGCAAGCCATTCTGTTGGTCAAACAGCATTTTGTCAGAAAGCTAGTAATTACCCTTATAATTTTACATATCTATACTTATACTTATAATAAATCTGTAGAGAGGTCAATGCTGTACATGAAATATATTTTCAAAATAACTATCAGGGGGTGATTAGTGATCGATACTGATGCCAAAAATGCAATCAGTAAAATTTTTGTCTGTCTGTCTGTCTGTCTGTCTGTGTGTATGTTCCTTATAGAAACAAAAACTACTCGACGGATTTTAACGAAACTTGGTACAATTATTCTTCATACTCCTGGGCAGGTTATAGTATACTTTTCATCACGCTACAATCAATAGCAGCAAAGTAGTGAAGGAAAATGTTGGGAAAACGGGAGAAGTTACTCCATTTTTTGAGCTTCCGTCGCGTGTGCAGCCTTAATGGTTAAAGTTACATAGAAATCATGTATGACGAAAATATTCTACATAAAATTGTCTAAAAAATATCCCGCAACAGCATATGTCTATCTTTTATGGTTGACTCACAATAACACGTGTAATTATATAAATAAAGTCATTCTTAATAGCACAAGCCTGAGAACAAAAACTATAGTTTACACTACAGCTCTACACCGAAGCGAAGCGAGGGCGAGGGCGGGCCACTAGTAAGTTAATAAAGTTTTACTTTTTGATATTTGATCACAGTGAATATCATCAAATTTTCTGTAGTCAATCTGAAGCACAATTATAAGAAATCACTATAATTATTACATCTGTCAGTTAAGTGTCGAAACTGTCTCCGCCGGTTCTAAAATTAATGGTCAGCTGAACCATTGCCGACCGGTGATGTTTATATGCAACTAAGAATAATATTTCTTTCCAACAATGTTGGAGGATTTTTTAAAACATGATAAAAATATATTTTTGACTTTTTTATTGATTGAATAACAAATCGTTTTTAAGAAGAACTTGATAAACAAATCAAAGACAAAAAAGCAGCAAAATCTTCCACGTGTTATTATCTACTAGTGGCCCGCCCTCGCTTCGCTTCGGTGTAGAGCTGTAGTGTAAACTATAGTTTTTGTTCTCAGGCTTGTGCTATAAAGAATGACTTTATTTAATAATTACACGTGTTATTGTGAGTCAACCATAAAAGATAGACATATGCTGTTGCAGAATATTTTTTAGACAATTTTATGTAGAATATTTCCGTTATACATGATTTCTATGTAACTTTAACCATTAAGGCTGCACCCGCGACGGAAGCTTAAAAAATGGAGTAACTTCTCCCGTTTTCCCAACATTTCCCTTCACTTCTCTGCTGCTATTGATTGTAGCGTGATGAAAAGTATACTATAACCTGCCCAGGAGTATGAAGAATAATTGTACCAAGTTTCGTTAAAATCCGTCGAGTAGTTTTTGTTTCTATAAGGAACATACACACAGACAGACAGACCAAAATTTTACTGATTGCATTTTTGGCATCAGTATCGATCACTAATCACCCCCTGATAGTTATTTTAAAAATATATTTCATGTACAGAATTTACATCTCTACAGATTTGTTATAAGTATAGATTTCGTAATCGGAGACAGTTGATTTTTATTAACAGAGATACTGTTACAATTTGACTTCCTTTTGTAAACATCAACAACAGAGAATATACTCACAGCTTTGATATTAACACCCATCACCTTATCCATGTATGATGGTATTTCGGTGAAAAGCGTCAGCTGTCCCCAAGTGTTTCCGATGTGAGCAATAATGATAGCAAGCATACCGGTACTAGTAAATATCTTCTTCCACGGGACTGGCAACGATTTCTAAAAATACGAAATTAAAATATAGGCACTTGCTTGTTACCATGATCAAGAATTTTCATAAGTTTCAGAATCTAGTAAAGGGAACTTAAAATGAATAAATGTGATATTATTTGTAACTAGATGTACCATATTTGGAAAACCTTAAATTTGTGTAAACCTTCCGTCGAGAAAATATAATACTGAATTTTTCTCAAAAATAAAACTTGAATATTAAAATTAATTCCCAGCCAGATATATCACAATGTTTTTTTTTGTTGAACGTTTTCGAACATTCCTCGTTGGGTTGATCTCAGAATGTCCAGTCGCAGTATGTTTAACCTGTATTAATGCCTATATCGCAAAATGAATTCAAATCATTTCGTCTAGATCTTTAATTGACTACATCGCATAATGCCTAAGATCTCAAAATGACTAGTTCTATATCTGACCACATAAAATAATAACTATGTAGATCGTAAAATGACTATGAATGAATTATTTGACCACATCTTACAATGACTAGATCGCAAATTGACTAGATGGCTTAATTATCTGGTTTGTGTTTTCTTACATAAATTTACAATCAAATGAATTTATAATTAGTTAGTATTTAATTAATTGAGAACTTCGGAGATTTTGTGTGGTTTCGTTTGAAATTCGTGATTTCTCGAAAACCGGAAGTGCTACGTTACTCAAATCCGGTTTGTAGTCTTATCAGACTATTCTTAACTTATAACTTAAATATTCTCTTTATCTATCTCTTACGGTTTGGCCGCTGAAACAGCACCACAGACAGACGGACCGGACGGACGGACTTGTCAAATAGATAAGAGATATTAAACGCCTCGATCATCCTAGATTGAAATTGTGCAATAAGAAAGGTCCTAAAAGTCAGCAGAGCAAAGTGAGCAGAAATCAATAAAACTATTTGGTGCTTGCAAGGCATATTTGGTGCTCATTAAGTGCGGTATTCCGAAATTAATTGCTTGATTCTTTTTTTTGCTAATGACTGCTCTGCTAGCTTTAGGTAAAGCTAGCGGAACAACCTTCAAAAAGTAATTAAATCCAACAAAAAAATTTAGGAATATATATATATATATAGGAATTAATCGCAAAAGTGGTTTTTTGAATAATGGCCGCTCTGCCAGCTTTGGATAAAGTTAGCAGAGCAATAGTCGAAAATCAGTTAAAAAAAACCAAACTATTTGGTACTCGCAGTGCACATTAAGTGCTAATTTAGTGCGTTTTTTTAGAATTAGTTGCAAAATTAGTTAGTTTTTGCAATAACGGCCGCCTTGCCAGCTTTGGATAAAGTTAGCAAAGAGATATTCGAAAATCAGTTGAAATAAAAAAAGTTATTTAGTGCACGCAAGGCATACGTATTGCCAATTTAGTGCGGTATTTAGATAATATAGCTTTTGTTTCGTTTTGCTAAAGACAGCTCTGCCAGCTTCAGAGATACAGTAAGCAGAGCAACCTTCAAAAGTTACTTCAATAAAAAAAAAAGTGTAGTTATGATTTTATTTTATTTTTAAGCATTTAACTGCTAGATGTTTAAATCTAAAGAAAAGTTTACTAGAAAAAAATCCACGCGGACCAGGCAGCGGACGGGACTCGAACCCGCATCCTTCGCAATCCGGGCGAATGCACTGACCATTATGCTACCACGGCCCTATTAGCCGCGTCGAAATTTTCCTAGCCTTAAGCTGCAAGGCAGCGCCATCTCTTCGCACTGTAGATAACCCACAATGTCAAATGAATACTTTTTCAAGTATTAAACATTTTTGAAAGAAGAAATAGCAATTATAGTTATGATTTTATTTTATTTTTAAGCATTTAACTGCTAGATGTTTAAATGCAATAAGAAAGGTCCTAAAAGCTTTTTTTTCTAGTAAACTTTTCTTTACATAAAAAGTGTATTTCGTATCAAGGGCTGAAAAACTTTCTTCGTGAGGGATATATTCACCCGAGCGAGAAAAGTTTTTCCGCCGTGATACTTCCTAGAAGTAGCCTTTTCAGCGCGCTGTGATAAAGATAACTATTAAGTGATTGCAAGGCAAATTTTGTGCAAATTTATTGCGTTATTCCGTAAAGTAATTAAAAAATTGCAATTGCAAATATAAGTTTTTCAATAAGATCTCTCTGCCAGCTTTGGAAAAAATTAACAGAACAGTAGTCGAAAATCAGTTGAATTCAAAAAAAGTATTTGGTACCTTTCAGGATTTATTCATCATCATCAGCCTATTAATGTCCCCACTGCTGGGGCACAGGGCCATGACCCACCACGCGGGCCCAGTGCGGATTGGTGGGTGCTAACGACTGCAAATGCAGCCGGGACCAACGGCTTTACGTGCCTTCCGAAGCACGGAGGAGCTCGAGATAGTAAATTTTTGGTCACCCATCCAATGACCGACCACTGCGAAAGTTGCTTAACTTCAACGATCGCAGCCGAACGCGCTAGCCATTTGCGCCATCGAGCTCCTCAGTAAGGATTTATTAAGCGCTCGTTATCCCCTCAGCTGTGTAGCCATTTACTTTGTTTCCACGGCCGGAAAATCAAAAAGTTTTCCGGCCAATTTTCCTCTTATTATTCGAGTTCTACTAGGCTTCATTTATGTCTTAAATAAATTCTGAATAGTTTCTCTACTCGTGACGACCTCCGTGGCCGAGTGGTTTGTACGCCGGGTTTCATGGTGTCGCCGACTCGAGAGGTCCCTCCCGGGTTCGAATCCCGGTGGGGGCAGATGTTTGTGTGATGAATACGAGCATTTGTACTCCAGTCATGGATATTTAATATGTATTTCTATATAAATATACTGATATATGAACAGTATATGTATTCTATCCGTTACCCTAGCATCCCATAACACAAGCCTTACAGTGCTTACTTTGGGGCTAGGCTAATTGGTGTGAGTGTTGGAAATATTTATTTATTATTTATAAACTTATCTATATGTGAGATGTTTAAATAAAAAACTATTACTAAATATGATAAAATGAAAAATATGAAAAATGAAAATAATTTTCTCAACTCGTGGCGGAAATCATCCTATTAAACAGCCGAGGGGTTAAGTGTGGTACTTCAGAATTAATTGCTTTTTTATTTTATTTGTTAGTTACTGCACCGCTTGTTTCAGGTAAAGTTAGCCGTATAACCTTCAACAATTAGTTACATTAAAAAAAAAAACTATTTTGTGCTCGTAAGCCATAACAAGTGCGAATTTAGAGCGTTATTCAGAAATTAATTGCAAAAATATGTCCCTTGATCATGACCACTTTACCAGCTCTGGATAAAGTTAGCAAGCAATAGTTGAAAATGAGTTCAAATAAAGAAAAACTAGTAAGTGCCTTGCTGGGCATATTAAGTGCTCATTCCGAATAATACCGCACTAAATTAGTACTTAATATGCCCTGCAAGCACCAAATAGTTTTTGTTGGATTTAATTTCGACGACCTCCGTGGCCGAGTGGTTTGTACGCCGGGTTTCATGGCTGTCGCCGACTCGAGAGGTCCCGGGTTCGAATCCCGGTGGGGGCAGATGTTTGTGTGATGAATACGAGCATTTGTACTCCAGTCATGGATGTTTAATATGTATTTATATGCTTCTTGTATATGTACAGTATATGTATTCTATCCGTTACCCTAGCATCCCATAACCATAACACAAGCCTTATAGTGCTTACTTTGGGGCTAGGCTAATTGGTGTGTGTAAAAAAAAATGATTTTGAAGGTTGGTCTGCTAATTAAATTCAAAGCTGGCAGAGCAGTCTCTTGCGAAAAAATAAATAAAAAGCAATTAATTTCAGAATACCGCACTTCATTGGGACAAAATATGTTCTGCAAGCACAAAAAAGTTTTTTTCTTAATTGACCTTATTTTCGACTATTGTCCTGCTAACTTAATCAAAAGCTAGCAGAGCGGCCATTATTAAAAAGGCCACTGTTGCAATTAATTACGGAATACCGCATGCACTAAGCACTTAATGTGCCCTGCAAGCACTAAATAGTTTTTTATTTATTAAACTGATTTTCGACTATTGCTCTGTTAACTTTATCCAAAGCTGGCAGGGCGTTCATTATTCAAAAAACCCTTTTTGCAATTTATTCCTAAATACTGCGCTTAATGTGCCCTGCAAGCACCAAATAGTTTTTGTTAAAAGTTTAATTTTTAAAGTTTTAATTTTTGAAGGCTGCTCTGCTAACTTTATCTAAAGTTGGCAGAGCAAAGTTTCCGAATCGGGATTGAAGTAATCAGTAAATTAGAGACTAAAGTAAAAAACATTTTATTTTTCGAATAGAGCGGAATATTAGTACCCATAATATTTTTGACCCATTTAGATATTTCAATCAATCAATCAATTAATCAATCAATACTTTATTGCGTTCTACAATGTTTTCTTAGATCTTATTTTTCTTACATTGCTTTGATCATTGTAGACTCTGAACAGGGCACAGCAAATAGAGAAGAGGATGCATTCACTAATTGTAATTTACGAGTAGTTAGTACGTATACAATTTACCAGCCAAATACGATATTTTTTTAACCAACAAATAAAAATATATTAATATCAACATTATTTATTCATTTTAGCTCAATATTATATTATATTATTTGAATTATTATCTTTGTCTTATTCTATAGTATATTATGTTATAATTATATTCAAATTTATTATATACAAATTAAATTAAATAAAATGTCAGGTATAGTAAAAAATTAAATTGTAGATATCATTACTTTAAATCATTATCTATTAATTACCAGGTGTTTTAACACCCACGCATAAAGAAAATTGATCCCAATTTGGGTCTATAATTTCTATTACCTCCATAAACCATAGCTGTCAAACGCCCGCGTTCCTCCAGAGGCGTCCACTTTCCGAAAAACGTATGGAACCCAGGAACGATGCAAGCTTGCGTCATACCCTGTAACACCCTACAGAGCACGGTGCATATCCATCCACCCTGAAATTAAAACTAACTCATTACATTATAGCTATTAACGGGATTGTTACCATGTACCTTGTTTTTATGAGTCTCCGATATTTCGGCACTGTTGCAAGCGCCATGATCACGGAACTGAAGTAATTGCGGGTAGATGTTAATGGCAGACATATCGATCTACCCTCTGACGTCGTCTTTTACTGCGCTCGATACCCCTACCATTGGTCACATTCTCACTATTAACTCGCAACTGTTCCCGACACACAATACTCACAGTATCAGATCGCGGAACGACACTTTTTTTGATTTTTGCGGTTTTTGCACATACGAACCACTAGATTCCAGACACTTGACAATTTAAACCCATCCTCACGATTGAAATTACATGGTAACAATCCCGTTAATAGCTATAATGTTAGTGACCATGAAAGTTTAAAACAATATAACTCATTACAAACATAATATATAGGAGCCGGAATGGATGGATGAAGATACGTTAAGAAGTTGGTCCTGGCTGCATCTACATGCTACTCGTAGCACCTACCAAACCCCACTGAGCGCACGTCATAATTATTCCTAATTAGCGTCGTAGGTCTTGGCCCAATCTCCTTATTCTATCCATATGAACGGCCTTTGCCCAACAGATGAAGCATTAAGAAGCTGATAAAGAAATACGATAGCTTTATGAATATTCTGACGCTTTAGACAATGTCAATCTTTCTATTAGAACGCTTCGCAAATTCTGAGAACCCAAAAAAAATATTTGACGTCGCAAGCTTGTCTAGGTTGCAAGTGATCACTATAGGTTATTGACGCTTGTGATACCAAGCTTATTTTACAGAATCAATTTGGACATCAATATTTCAACAAGAAAGAATTAATTTTAGTTCATCACTGGAGACCGAAGAGCTGGCAGCTACCTCGGACAACGAATTTGTCTAGCTATTCAAAGGGGGAACGCTGCCAGTATCTTCGGAACCTTGCCTAAAAGGACTCCTTTTAGTAATATATTTTAGTTATTACATTATATTTTTTAAGGTTTTTAGTTTAAGGTTCATTGTTCCTTTTTCAAGAAGAACATACATACATAATATGTCACAATTGGCATTATGATTGGTATGATGCAGTTCATGATCATTGCGCCAAATAGCAGTCGTCTGGTTCCGAATCGGTGCGCGAGTTGTCCCGCTGGTATCTGCAAAGCCATGTATCCCCAGAAAAACGACGATAATATCACATCCTGGGTTTTTTTCGTCCATTTGTACTTCGGAAACTGGAATAATTGATCGAAGATCTTTAGAATTAAGCAACTAGGATGTATAGCTAGCAATAAATGAAACTTTGGCATTGCAAACATCGGTTCTATTTTGTCTCAAACAAGACCTAACGAAAAGTTTACCATGCAGCAGACGAGACCCGTCTGGTCCGCGTGGATTTTTTTTTCCAGTAAAACTTTTCTTTAGATTTAAACATCTAGCAGTTAAATGCTTAAAAAATAAAAACATGAAGACCTAAAGACTTTTGGAGATTTTATCCACAGAGGACAGAAGTCTCTGAATCGTGAAAAAATGACTGCCGTGGACTTGTCACGGACTCAACACACACGATGTGCAAACATTTGTTTCCCGATAATTTAGAAAAGCGCACGTGATGTATGTAGATAATCACAGCTTATCTTGTGTTATAATTAACATGAAGTTTAAGGGTTTGTGAAGTATTAAAGACAATTGTGGTTTACATCGCCAAAATTTTTAAATTAACCAAAAAGGAGTGATTGATTGATGAATCTGTAACTAATTGAAAATCTTTCAACATTTGATTGATGCATTATAATTAGACATTCACAACAGACACGACTTGAATATTTTATCAAATGTTTATATATTTTTATCGTACCTACACTTACGGTAGTTAAATATCGTAAAAATATATATACTCGTAAAACAAGATTAAAAAAAATATGAGCCGAGATAAGATTAGTTCATTTCGAGATATATATCGTAACAACCTCTCTTTACTCTTTACAATGAATTAGTCAATATAAATTAGAGGTAAAACATGATGTTATAATTTCCTGAGTCATATCTGTATAAACAATTACTTGTTTAATTTCTATATTGAAAGTTTTCTTACTTTCGCATTCAATAAAAATTGTGAGCTGTTAAGCATTTATTACATTAATATCCAAAAATACACAATAAATAATTATTGAGTCTAAATAAAAATGTACTTTTATAAAGACATTAAAATAATTTGCATAATTTACCGGTGGTATCAACATCAGTGCATTCAAAACACCATTCACTTCGAATTGAGCTTCCCTGTTCATCAGATCAATATTACTCTTATTAAATAAGTGCTCAGTATCATTAATTATAATAAGAGTATCATTATGTTCATGAATATCTGGAATATCGCTCTGAATCATTGCTACCAGTGCAACTCCCATACAAGACCTCATACTGTATGCGACAGTCAAAGTAAAAAAGAGTAAAACACATTGTGTATGCCTCACACCCCATCTGGAAACTGCAAGAGATATTTCAGGATTAAATACAAAATATTACCTACATCTTGCTGTTAAATGCCTGAACAATACAAATGTAAAGGAAATTCGATACGGGCAATACGTTATTGCATCCGCCCGGATAGCAGAAGATGCGGGTTCGAATGCCGTCTGAAACCTGGACGTAACGGATTTTTTTCCAGTAAATGTTTGTTTAGATTTAAATTTCCAGCAGTCAAATGCTTAAAAAATATAATAATCTACAAAATTAATATTTTTATTACCATTAATTTTTTACTATATTCCAGAAATAGTTAAGTATCGGTAGCTTGTCTTCACATCCTTGTGAATTCAACAGAATAATTTTATATCAATCAATACTATGATGACCTATGAGATTAGGTAAATCCACAAAATTTAAAAGTAATCTAAAACTTTAATTAATTTTGTTAATTACTTACGTTTACTGAGCTTAACCTTAATCTAATCTTATACTTTAATTTTATTTCAACTTAATTGTAGCCCTTATTAATTAATTTAGATTTTGAAATTCTTTAATAAGTTTACGTCAATCAAACCAAATCTTCAATCAGTTTAATGTTTAATTAAAATATTTTAAATGGCTTATTTTCAATTATAAGGTAAGTATGTACAAGTATTATTCAAAGATTTATATCCCCAACAAGGAATATATTAATAGATAATTTAAATTCTTTAAAAAATACGTTTGGTGTAAATTTAATAGGGAAATCAGTTTTAAATGTATATATTTTCTATCACTCACCCTTAAAATCTGATCCGATTTCAAAAGGTTCCAAAGAGTATGGACATGCGGCATCCGTTTTCACTTCAATTTTAGCCATACTATTTTTAATTTTAGTACTATTTTGATATTTGACATTGACTACACCGTTACCATCATCTCTCATTATAATAATTGTGTGATGAATAGTGTCAGTTATATTAATGAATAATTTTATCTTAGACAAATAGTAGAGGCTGCTACTGCGTCTTCAAACCAAACAATATTATCTTTATTCGTTGTTAAAATAAAGATTAATTTTCCTTTATTAATACAATTTCACTCAGTTGATTTAAAATTGTGAAATATTTATTTGTTTATTTTTAAGGTTTCTTGCTAAAATAACAATTGAATGAAGAAGTGCTTATTGTATTTGACTTTAGCAAAAAAACTGCTATGTTTGGATATTCAAAGATTTCTTGTTTAGTATAAATTTTTGTTAGATATAATTTAATAGTTTTTACGAAAAAAGTCTAAATTTCAGTAACCTTTCCGGTAAAAATCTCATTTAATTTAATTCCATTATCAAAAAAACATTGAGATGTACAGCAAAACCACGACAACACTTGCTTTTGAACATAGCTAATATTGCATTCGCCCGGATTGCGAAGGATGCGGGTTCGAGTCCCGTCCGCTGCCTGGTCCGCGTAGATTTTTATTCTAGTAAACTTTTCTTTAGATTTAAACATCTATCAGTTAAATGCTTAAAAAATAAATAAATAAAAACATAGCTAATATTATCCTATTGCTTTGCAAAGCATATGCTTTCCCTTATTGATATTTACAAAAACAAATTTACTGTACTACCTGACCTAGTATATACCAATATATAAAATGTATAGTTTAACGAATTACATCTAGTTATCTGATTAAATAATAATATACATGCATACTTGCAAAAGAAGGTTTCTCTATTATAATTCAATATTAAAAAAATAGATTGAGCGCTGTAGGATATAATAAGTCGAAAATTCAGGTTTCATGTGTGGGGTCTCAAATATTTTAAACTTTTTAAAAGGGCCTGTGCACATCACATTTTTAAACGCGCCGTTTGACCCGCACTTGTAACAATACAGCCGAAGCCTGTAGGTAGACCTTCGCATATTTATAAAAATTCAAACATGCATTTGAATCGGTACAGACGCGCGTGTGTATCGCACGTCGCGCGATATTTATTTATATAATAGGTACACCAACAGTATATATATATAAACATAAAAAACACTATTTCTAGGTACTTATGCATATACTTTTTATAGGCGTACACGACAGCAATACTACATAGTTATAAAAAGAAGAAATAGACAAAACTTAAAACTAAAACTAACAGTGATTCTAATATCACATAAATATTATAAAAGCAAAAGTTTGTAAGTGTGTGAGTGTGTATGTTTGTTACTTATTCACGTCTTAAAGGGCTGGAGCGAGTTTAATAAAATTTGGTATGGAGTTAGCTGACACCCTGTATAAACACACAGTTTACGTTTTACTGCTGGAAAATATCCGTAATAAACCACGGGTAGCACCGTGGGGCACAGCTAGTAAGGTATAAACGACAACAAACTGCTCTGTAGTTAGGCGTTCCGGTGAGGCACGTCTCTAAAAAGCGCGTCGACGACGCCAACGCGACGGCGCGCGTTAAAAAACGTAGGCTTGTTGAAAATATATCGATGTATCGATATATCGATATTTTTTGTAGATATATTTTGATTCGATATATCGATACATCGATACAAAATAACCAATATCGAAATTCGTATAAAAAACGACATTTTTTTTTAATTATTAGCGGCATATCACGATCTAACTAAATTCGTATCTGGAAAAAATCGTAACTGGATCTCAGATTAATGATATTCAACATATCTATGATCTGTGCTGTATTTAGTATTGTCTATTATTTGTAAATCTGCTTCGCTGGTGAATTGATTGTGCTGATTTCCATTATATTCTGTGAAGTGTGTGATTGTCTAGTCTTGTTAACGAAAGAGACCCTGCAATCATTTACCTGAGAGGCCCTGCAATCATTTTCATCATTCGAAAATAGGGTCTATTTTTAGGGAGATAATTTTCGTTCCATTATTATTCCGCGTGTCATATTTCGTGAGCTACTATACGATATTTTTGGGATAATTGGTCCGATATATCGACGTTTTTTTCGCGAATATCGAAGCCGATATTGGTATTTTTTTAAAGATCGATGTATCGATATATCTATATTTTTTTCAATTTTCGACATCCCTAAAAAAACGTGGTGTGCATTAGTACAGACGCGACGGTGTTGCGCGTTGGAATCGATACAAACGCGATGCTAACGCGCATGTGTATTGATCGATACAAACGACAACATACTGATCCGTAGGATAAAAGCGCGCATTTGATGCGCGTTTCTAAAACGCTCGTCGACGACGGCGCGTTTATAAAACCAGGTGTGCACCGGCCTTAACTGCCTTTCCGTTCAGAGAGCTGACAGCTGACAGCCTGTCAGATTATCAGAGACAATTATTTAACAAGGTTCAGTTTGTCATTCTTCGGAAACAAACCATAAAAACCTGCTTTTAATTATTTTGTGTTTGTTAAAAATCTTTATTGCTTTCACTTGAAATTTGAAACTTTCTGAAACAAAGAAGATGACATTGTTTTCCTTTCAGTAGATCGCTTTGTTTAAAAAATGATAAACGCCATTGTTTTCGATTCATCCGACTCATTCTCAAAGACGGGTGTTTGGAAATTCGCTATATTTTTGCTGTCATCACTCTAGCCTCATTTTCTTTCAAAGGGGGAATATAATAGAAACAAAACGTAGCTTCCGTTTCCCCGTCCTTCTGTTGGCCTTGATCAAAAGAAATTAAATGACAAACGTTGAACCGTGGAGTAAACGGAGCGGAAGTATATTAAAAAATCTGTGATCGCGGCAGATGTGAAACATAATTTATAGAAAAAATTTAAATAAGTTATTAAGGTAGGAAAAATAAACAAAAAAGTAAAAAAAAATATATAATATACTTGAAGACGATCAGTAATCTTAAGGCCGCTGCATACGTGACGAGTAAATACTTCGGACGGGACGTGAGCGGGACGGGCACGTGATTATCTCGTTCAAAACGGGAACGTGGTGCAAACGCATACGCACCGTGACAGTTATTCGGATCTAACGTGCTAGTGTTGATTTTATAATGATTGCAAATGTAATTTTATAATTTTATATTCTTTGCCAACGCGTCATTACAGATCTGTTCGGAATGAGCAGAACAGAGCGACTGTGCTATGCATACGTAGCGAAGCCACGAGCGGGACGGGGCACGCGCAGGGCGTGACGGGACGGAGACGAGCTAAACATTGTCCGCGACGATATTTTTCACGTTCACGTTCCCGCCCCGTCCATGTACCCGTAACATATGCGTTTTTGGATACATTGTGTATGAAACGATGTTTCCAAAACTTCCCGTCCCGTCCCGTCCGAATAAAAACTCGTCACGTATGCAGCGGCCTTTACTTACTGCATTGTCTCTAAGAACCTGCACTGCCTTAACCGGGGTCCTCCGTCGCGGGATCCGTTCCACCCGTTGTGGGATGAACGTTAAGATGACGGGACCCCGCCAGGTTGTACAAATATAATGTGATTAGGATTGAATTCAGAATTTCTGCTATTTTATATATTTTCATAGAAAAAATCTGCACGCAAAAAATTTCAAAATATTCAACTAAGAAAGTGGTCCCTTTATTTTGATTGATATCAAACTGACGGGACCACTAGTTAATTAATAAAAAACATACAGCGTAATCTTAAACTGAACACATAATTTTAATGTGATTTGATGCAACTATGTTCGGTTCATTACTATACTTCTAAAACTATAATTTCAATATAAAAAAGGTATTCTATTTACAACAAGAGCAGTAGCAAGCTTATTTAGTCGAAATATTTATACAAGCGGTATTATAATAAATTAAATCTATATAATATATATAACTCAAAGCTGATTGACTGACAGAGTGATCTATCAACGCACAGCCCAAACCACTGGACGGATCAGGCTGAAATTTGGCATGCAGGTAGATTTGGGGGTAGAATTTGATCAATTCTACCCCCAAGAGGATAAAATAGGGAATGAAACTTTGTATGAAACTTTGTCAATTTTAAACCAATCGGGCTGAGACTTTGCATGCAGGTATAACAAGAATCATTTTAGGAGAGGATTTAATTTTTTTGGCTATATTTTATCTTTCCTATTTTGAACAGCTCGATGGCGCGGGTGGTTAGCGCATTCGGCTGCGATCGTTGAAGTTAAGCAACTTTCGCAGTGGTCGTTCATTGGATGGGTGACCAAAAATCTTCCATCTTGGGTTCCTCCGTGCTTCGGGAGGCACGGTAAGCCGTTGGTCTCCACTGCCGTCCCCCTGCATCTGCAGTCGCTAGCACCCACCAATCCGCACTGGGCCCGCGTGAAGGCATTGCCCAATCTCCCTATTCCATAGGTACGGTCTGTACCCCAGCAGTGCAGTTATATTAAAACTAAGGCTCCCAGCCTTAGAAAGAGTTTTGAAGAGAACCTTGCACTTACTCCCTTTCATATACTTGTTCATTTTGTTTTGAAAATTGTTTCTTGCTATTTTGGGACTTATCTTTGCACTTATTGTTAGTAAATTCGTTGATTGTCTATTGTTACATATTTGACATTTGACATGGAAGTTGACCTCAACACATGTTTGCAAGCTTGATGTCAACTTTCAATTGGACGACACTGTATGAAATAAAACAGGGAGAAAAAAGCAGCCCTTGCTGAGTTTCTTGCCGGTTCTTCTCAGTACAAGGTCTCCCACCGTAGATTTGCGGACCGATGGCGTAGCTTTTCGACATTCACAAGTGCTTGTAACAGCCTAGACTGAATAAACGATATTGAATTTGAATTTGAAAAAGTGAGGACATTAATAGGCTGATGATGATAATTTTTTAGATAAGTACTATTTTTTATGCCCTGGGCCCCGACATAGCCCGCCCTTAAGACGGTCCTGAACTGCATTCGTCAAAGGACCTATTGTTCTGATTAAGAGCTGTCCTAAAAGCTTTCGTCAGGGTTGTTACAAATTTCTCACTACTTCAAACTTCTTACAAAATTATTGTATTTGTAG